AATGCTTGAGATTTCAGCCCTTCTTACTATGAACGTTTCTTGAAGCCCTTGGTTATTCTCTTGCATAGTAGGATTTACTTTTGGTTCAAATAGCTCTCAGATCAATTTATGAACAAGGGGTTTGCACTTCAAGCTTCATTTCCCCGTAGGCATGTCATTATGTAAAACACTTGGGCCCCCCTCTTGGGACATTATTTCTGTGAACTAAACCTGCTCCCTAAAGATGGGGAAAAAAGAATAATCTCAAAAAAGAGGTGAGTCTTCAGTGGTATTAGGTTTTTATTCTAAAAGGGAGGACCATGGGTAGAAGGGGCAACAGAATTGGGTTTGACTGGATGGGTTTGGCTAATAGGCAGAGGATAGGGAGTTGGCAGCATAGATTCTTTCATTTATCAATGGGATTTCTTAATAAACTAGAAGAGAGGGAAGCACCAAAAGAGGGTGTTTGGTATCCTTTCCAAAAGTCATGAAAGAAGCAGCAAGAAAGTTGGTAGTAGGTTGAGTCTTTTCCCAACTTACTGGATTTTATACATCTTCTGATCAAGGGCAGTCTATTTCTCTATTCAGAGCTATTCCACTGGGAATATACTTATTCCCCTTGATAAGGTTGGGCCTGAGCATGGATGAACACAAAAGAGCAGGTAAGCTCTCAGCCCTGGACTTGCCTGGGCAATTTTAGAGCCTTTGAATTGTCTTTGATGATATGCATCCTGGATTAAATTTGTGAGCCAATGTTGTGGAGACTCCTTTTTCTTTTTTACATTCCTCTGAAGAGCATTTTTGTTTGTTTGCTTGCTTGTTTATCAGGAAGGTAATACTTGATTGGACTTTTGAAGTAAGAATTCCATGTTTTGGGTGGCAGCTCAAATAGCAGTTCCATCCTCTGTGACCTAAACTTGCTCCCTAAAGATAAAAGTCCTGAGCATGGTTGCTTAAAGTCTGCCCTGTGCAAGTGGAATCCATGTTAAGAGGAGTCCCTCCTCTTGCCAAGGCAAACCTCCTACACCCTTACCTGAATCCCCTCCCTCTAAGGATTCTCTTCTGAGGACCATCTCAGAAGTGGGATCAGGCAGAGATTTGGACATAGTTGTATGCAGAATTTTGGCTTCCTGTCCTTGGTTCTTTCCTTTTCAGGATTTCTTCCTTATGTCCTATAATTCATGGTTGCTTCCAATTTGGTTTTCTTGTTCTTCAGTCAATAGAGAGAATAAAGAAACACTGGCCTTTTAGCTGCCTGACTTGGCACAGACTGGAGCCTGCCTTCAGGCTGGGAGCTTTGAATCATAAGCAGTTAATGGAAACTTAACCAGTGAAGACTCGTCCAGAGCCAATTCCTTTTTCCACCTGTTGGCTGTCCTCCAGAATCTGCCTATTTTGATCATTCTTTAGTGCTTTCAGATAGTTGAAGATTTTTTTCCTCCAGAGTTTATGTGAAGTGGTGACAGATGTTAGCTTCTGACTTAGTAGTAGCATTGGAGGAGTTGAGGGTAGAGGAGAAGAAAGGCACTTTGAATCCTGGAGGGCACATATTGGAATCCCGTCTGTTTCAGTGAAGATGAGAAAGACTCAGTGTGTCCAGTCAGGATCAGAGCCAAGATTTGAGAGAGTGATTCAGCCAAGGGATTTTTCTCAGTGGCCTAGAAAGGGCTCCCCAACTTGCCTGGGTACCATATGGGCTTCCTTAGAAGGGTGCCTTTTGACCCCTGGGAAGTTTAGAAATCACATGTGGAAATAATGAAATAAATCAATGGACAAAGAGATAAACCCTCTAGAGGAGAAAAAGACAAACCATGAGGAGTGTGAAGTCCAGAAAGGGAGTATTACAAAGATGAGAGGATAGATGACTCCAAGAGGGCACGGTGGGAAAAGGATGAGAAATAGTGATGGACCTGGAAACAAGGTTGTACTTGATGGCTTTGGTGGGTGTGGGGAGCAGCATTAGATGGGCAGGGTATGAGTGGAGGTGGGGAAGGCATGTAGACCACCCATGGACAACACTTTCAGGAAGAGAGGAAGGGGAAGAGGAGAAGACTGGAAGATTATAATAGAGTCCAGTGAGGGTTATGTCTATTTTCTTTAAGATGGAAGAGACTGGAACAGGTTTGAATATGGACAGAAAGGAGATAGATAAGTCAGGGAAAGAAGTGAATACATAGGATGCAGGAGATGGTCCTCAGAAGAGAATCCTTAGAGGGAGGGGATTCAGGGTAAGGGTGTAGGAGATTTGCCTTGGCAAGAGGAGGGACTCCTCTTAACATGGATTCCATTTTAATATGATGGGTTCCTTGGGCACTATAACAAATTCTGAAATTTGCATGAACATTAAAAATAGTTTTCTTTTTTCTAAAAAGTGTTGCATGACCTATTTGTCATGGTGAAAATCTCCATTTCCCACTTCCAGACTCGTGACCTTAGGTAGCTGTTATGCTATTTCCTCTTTTGTCAGAGTCTTGTCAAACACCTTTCTTTAGCTTTGCCAAATGAGTTGAAGTCAAGTTGTTATGACTTCCCCAGCAGGGCCACTTTAACCTTTGCTTAACTCTGAGGTTAACTCTTGGCCTTCCATACTCTATAACTTTTATAGCTACTTACCTCAAAGAAACTCAGGTCTTTAAGCAATTTTTCCCCTAGGTTCATAGTCACAGTGGGCACAAGCACTGGGGAATATACCACAGAAAGAAAGGGAAGATTTGGTGTTCTCTTGTTGGGCGGGGGCTACTAAATTTGAGCAATTTCTGGGAAGAATAAAGATTTTCTTTTACATGAACTGTGAGATTATATGTGATTGGGGGACATGCATTTATGTTGTGGCTAATGATATGTTTCAGTGAATGTTCTCAACATAAAAACATAACGAGGGAACACATAAATTCTGATTAGATTCACTTATAAGCCACAGTAACTGTTTTGGGGTAAGATCTAAGTGAATCAAACTTTAGATTTAAAAAATTGTTCTCTCTTCGGAAGTGGATAACTTCTCCCCTCAACACCCATAACTGTTTGCCTCAGTTATAGCTGATCAGTGGGTTCAACCATAGGTGCACATTTACAAAGGGACTTGAATTTTGTACTGAAGTAGACTGACAATTTCTTTCCCTAAATGTGGCGAGCAAGGATTTTACTGCATCTGCTTTTGTCTTTGAGAAGCCAACTTTGGGATAGTCTGCGGGCTGGTGAGCTCATTCAATAGCATTCATTTGCTCTTTTCCTGAGGAAGCACAGGAGCTAGGGGCAGTGAGTGTGCTTCAATTGTCAGAGAGCCTGGCACTCTTGAGTGAAGGTTCTTGCAGTATCTTGAGAAGAGGCAGTTGCTTCATTGGTAGGAGTAACAGCAGAAGAAGATGCCATGGCCTTGAGCTTGGGGCTTAGCTGTGGCAGGACCCTGCCTGGAAAGCATTCCAGGGTTGACTTGGTCAGCAGGGCTCTGCACTGCATCCTGGGCCTCTGGCTTTGTTCTTGCCTTTGGTATCTCCTGATATGTTTTGGAAGTGAAGATGTCTATGGGCTTGAGTAACCATGATTGAGCATGGGTTTATGATGGTTTAGGGACATATGGTTTCAGGTTGCCTTGAAACCCCACTGCCTCCTTTCTGAGAGCTCAACTTTCCTTGGGGACATTCCCTTCAGAACATAAAATTTTGCACAAAAAGTTAACTTTCCAGTTAATTGGTTTTTGGTCTTTTCTATCTATTTCTGCAGCCTAAAGCCTTACCCTCCTAATTTCCTGCTGCCATTGATTCAGCACTGAACAGACTCCAGGGTGAGGTACTTGTTCACAGGAATGTTAGAAGTATGGAGCTGACCCTTGGCTTCTCATTCTCATTTAGTGGATTCCTTCCGTAAGCCCACATATACACAGTCAGCTCTAGAGGCTCCGGTCACTCAGCCTCCCATTGATATTTGCCAATAGCAAACCCCTGGGAAGGCAGCCCAGGCTGCAGGCCCTGTATCTGCCACTAAGATATATTTTAAGATCTACCCTGAGAGTAGTATGCTTCAGCTCAACTGAAGCATCTCCCATTTCCCGCTTTGGACCCCTGGAGAGGCTAATTCTCCTGCTTCCTAACTCCCTCCTCCCATCCATCCAAGCATTCTCAGGACCTGGTTTGGGTTTATTGACAACCCTGTGTATAATTCATGCAAGACAGGTTACAGCAGAGCGTGTTACCTTTGCTAGTCAAGCATGGCTTAGTAATGCTGCTCCAGATTTTGGCCGGGAAGTAGGTTTTATTGGTGTTTGGGCCTAATGTTTTCCTGTCCGGAAACCTTCCCCTTCCCTTGGTGGGGCTGTTCTGGCAAGCACCATCAGGGAAAAATCTACCTTCCCCTTGTCCAGTTGGATGAATGGGTTCCAGGGAAAAGCAGTCTGTTGTATAAAACAGAAGTCCCTGGAGGGGGCAGGGACATTAGTATTGAGAAGCAGGAAGCTGATACTATTTTGGTGGGCAGCACAAACCCAAGCTAAGATGGGTGTTTCCAGGGTGGCTCCTGGTGGTGGTGTAGGTGGCACCTGAGTGTTTTATAACTGTGTAATGCTTTGAGAAGGAACTTCTTTTCATTTAGTGAAAACCATCCTGCTTTTTGATCCTACTGTTTTCTTACCCTCTAAATAACAGGGGCACCAGATAGCAAAGAAACAAAAGATGTAAGGTCTCTGATTCTTGTACTTTTTTCCTTTCTGCATTTTCTATACGGTCAAGTAGAGGAAGGAGACAAATTTTGGCAGGAGGAGCTATTGGGATCACAGAGATAAATGTACCTGGCCAATAGTAGATTCTGGGGCTATGAGGGAAGTAGGTCAAGGATGATATCCAGGAGCCTGGCTTGGGTGAGAAGGGATTGGAGGTGCCTCTCTTCAAAGTGGGTGATTGAGGAGAAGTTGCTTAGACAGAGTAGGAAAATACTTCTCAGAAGATGTTTATAGAGGTGGGTTAAATGGAGGAAAAACAGCCTTATTCCAAGGCAACAAAGACAATGAACTTTACTCATTTTCCTTCCAGGAGAGATTATGGGCCTCACAAAATGGCACCAGTGAAAATCTACAAGCCTGAACCATTCATCCCAAGTGGAGAGAATATGGATTTACTCACAACTTATAAACAAGATTATAATCCCTACCCTCTCTGTCGAGTGGACCCCATCAAACCTCGGGACAGCAAATATCCATGTGGTGACAAGATGGAATGCCTGCCTACTTATAAAGGTGGGGGAGTGACGGAGGAACATGGTGGGGAAGGGTAGGCTGAGATTGTGTGCAGGGTGGGAAACATGTTCTATATACAGTCCTCTTAGAGCAAGGATCACCAAACCACTTCCTGTGGATCAAATCTGGCCAACGGCCTGATTTTGTGTATCTGGAGAGTTAAAAATGATTTTAAAGTTTTTAAATGATTGGGAAAATATCAGAAGCTTATTATTATTCAGGAAGTATGAAAATTGTCTGACATTCAGAGATCAATGTTCCTAAGTGTATTTTATTGGCACACAGCCATACTCATTCACACATCATCTATTGGCTACTTTTGTGCTGTAGTGGCAAAATTGAGCATTCATGACAGAGACCGTGCAGGCTGCAGGGCTTTATAGAAATTATTTGCTAACCCCTGCCTTAGCTTGTTGTCTAAATCCTACAATGGGGAAGCATTTCAAATTTAAGTTGAGTTGAGTTCTACTACTGATTGACCAATGGTTTCATTCATCCACTTAATGTTAACATGTAATATACCTACAGAAAAATGTCTGAATCATGATTACATAGACTAGTGAATTTTTAACTGGATAAAAATCAGTCCCCAGGGGCTTGGGTTGTGGCTCAGTGGTAGAGTGCATATCTAGCATGTGTGAGGCACTGGGTTCGATCCTTGGCACCACATAAAAATAAATAAACAAATAAAGGTATAAAGAAAAAAAAATCTGTAACTCAAAACTAATTTTAAAAAAAGCCCCCAGATTAAGAAATGTCACATGACTGCTCCTTCCTTTCAGTTACCTCCCTAACCAGAATGTAACCATTATGCTAGCTTTTAGCATCTTAAATTATTTTTAATCTTATATTAATGGGATTAGTTCATTTAAAAAATATATTCTTATTTTTAAATTTATACATAATAATTTATGGGGCTTCTGAAAGACATGGTATAATGTTCAAATCAGGGAGAACATAGCTATTTTCTCAAACATATATCGTTTCTTTGTGGTGAAATCATTCAAAATCCTGTTTTCTAGCTTTTTTTGAAATATATAAACATGTTTTATCAAGTATCTGTTACATACCAGGCATGGTCCTAGGAAGCATAATGACCTGCCCTTGACCTCCTTGTCTAGTAGGAGAGACAATATGTGGAGACTTGTGTGTTGTGCCAGAGTGTAACAAGTCACTCACACTGTGGAGCATAGTTACAAAGACTGAAACCAGGGAACAGAGGCCAGGTTTGTAATTAGTAACTTTCATGTGTATGAGGTACAGTGTCGCCCTGGCAAGGCATTCTAAACATGAAATGTTTGTGGACCTCTAAAGGACTGTGACAGATTGCTTTTATTTGGTCAAGATGAGCATTTAAGCTGGTGGAGGTGAGGAGGCTGGGGGAGTATAAGAATCTTCCTAAAGGAGTCCTAAATCTCATCCGACAGGACCCCACATGTAGTTGATTTCTCTGCTTCTTTCACGAGCTGAGTTTCGGGGCTAGACTGTCATGAACCTCTTTGACAACCTGACTGTCCCCATACTTTTTTTTTTTTTTTTTTTGGTACCAGGGATTGAACTCGGGCACTTGACCACTGAGCTACATCTCCATCTCTGTTTTGCATTTTTAAAATTTAGAGACAGAGTCTTTTTGAGTTGCTTAGTGCCTTGCTTTTGCTGAGGCTGGCTTTGAACTTGGGATCCTCCTGTCTGTCTCCTGAGGTGTTGGGATTATAGGTGAGTGCCACTGCACCCGGCTCTCATACTTATCTCTAATGCCTTCCTCCACCTTCTGTCATGCTGCATTCTGCATGTTATCATAGCCTGAAATTACCCTACCTCTGAAGCCTCTGTGCATCCCAATAGCCTGTCCTGACCAGTTGTTTTATTCACCTTCACTGTGACAGAACTTGGCTTTTCTGGGACCTCTAGTCTGTTGATGGCTCAACCTTTCTCTCTCACCATAGCCCCTATTGGGTCTGTCATTCCTTGTGTAGTGACATCTTTTAGCTGGTGGCTGAAATGGACACTCTTAGAGGCCTTTTCAAACTGCCTCCAACATGCCAGCTACATGTGTGACAGGTGCCCTGCACTCCCTTGTCTTGTAACTCATTGTACAGTCTTGTTTTAAGTAACATGTGTCTCCTTAGCCAGACTGTAAGCACTAAGGTGGCAGGGATCTCTTCTTTGCTTTCTTGGTGAATTATCCCCTCATAGTAGATGCCATAGTAGGTGCTTTATAAAGGAGTTAATACAGCTAGGTATGGGGTGGTGTGCCTCTTGCCTCTACAGGGTATGATATTCTCTTTTTTTATTCAGAGCTTACAGGAAGACAGAAATGGAACACCACTGAGTAGGTGGGATGGAGGAATGAAACTGGAGCAAGTGCTTCCCTCCAGAGGGGAGGGGGTGAGGCATGCTGATAGGGCAGGTCTGAATACAAACTCTCCTCTATGCCCTCTTTATGGGTTCCCATGGTGTGTTAGTCTTGGTGTATGTTATGGTTTAGATGTGAGGTGACCCCAAAAGCTCATGTGTGAGACAATGCAAGAAGGTCTAGAGAAGAAATGATTGGGTTATGAGAGCTTTAACCCAGTCAGTGAATTAATCCCCTCATGGGATTGACTAAGTGGTAACCGTGGCTAAGGAGGTAGGTCATGGGGAACGTGCCCTTGGGGTATATATTTTGTATCTGATGAGTGGAGTCACTCTTTCTGCTTCCTGATCTTCTGTGAGCCACTTTCCTCTGCCATACTCTTCCACCATGATGTTCAGCCTCACCTCAAACCCAGAAGAACAGACCCAGCTGTCTATGGACTGAGACCTCTGAAACCGTGAGCCCCCACATAAACTTTTCCTCCTCTTCAATTGTTCTGGTCAGGTATTTTAGTCACAGTAATGACAAGGCTGACTAAAATAGTATAGCTAGAGGCTTGTCAGAGACCTGCCTGCTCAGTTCAGTTCTGTCTCCTCCACCTGGCCCTAGGTGCAGGGAGAGGTCTGGGAACAAGAACTACTCCTCGCTTGCTGTAGGAGTTAGCAAGAACAGGGTAGGTGTAATGGCGTCGCTCAAGTCTTCTGTAACTCACGTTACTCCTTCTCAGCAAACTACTCAGCCCTCAAAATAAACACCCCACACACTCTCACAGAACCAACCCTTGCTCATGCTTTAATCTCTTCTGTCTCCAGTTTTCCCACGTTCTTCCCTGTTTCTATGATATTACATCTCAGTCTGCTCTCTGAAAACCAGAGAAAAGTATTCCGCTGCTGGAACCAAATCATGGATGACATTTCCTTACTGCTAAAGTAAAAATTGAGAAAATACAATTTTCTTTGTTTCTCTTAAACTTCTGATAACCTGTTAATTGCTTGCTTACTTAAACAGAGTTAAAAAAAAAAAAAGTAGCAGTCCAAAGTAGACTGCTCAGGAGCAGGCATGCATAGAGGGGCAAAGTTTTTGTTCTGGGTTCGTAGGAACTTGAGTTTGGATTTCATAGTCTTCCTCTAAAATTTGGATTTTAAAACAGATCCGTATATAGCTAAAGGAAACATATTTGTAGTTAGATTTGACTCATAGGTGCTAGTTTGCAACCTATATTTCTTAATGGTTTGTTTTAAATAAGACTATGTTAGTCTGTTTGCACTGTTATAACAATAAATCTGAAACTGGTAACTTATAAATCGTAGAATTTTTACCCCTCACAATTCTAGAAGCGGGGAAGTTCAAGATTAAGATTAGCAGGTTAAGGCCTGGTCTCTGCTTCCATATGGCATCTTGTTGCTGTGTTAGCACATGGTAAATGGTGAAAGGGAGAAAAAAAAAGGGCTTACACCAATTCCCTCTAACCTTGTTATAAGGTAATAATCCACTCACGAGGAAGAGCTCTCATGACTTATTCATTTCCCCAAAGGCCCCACCTCTTAATACTACAATGGGGATTAAGTTTCAAAACATGAATTTTGGTGGACATTTAGAGCATAGCAAATAGTTTCATTAATTTGATTGGTTCATTTGTTCCATTATTGCCCCATGATATCATGGCTTCCAAAACTAGGTCTTAAATGCCCAATATCTGTCTTCCCAGCCCTTAGAACAGGGAATGGAGTTCAAAGGTTTATAATAAAGGAGTAAATGGTTCTGAACTACTGTTTGCACAGGCTGTAGGTGACAGTGTGTGGCAATAGATACACACATATTCTTACCCATCCAATTACCTGATAGGTCCTGGTGAGGGGCAGGATGAATTTGGGGAAGGACATGACCTTATACTGCTCTTGGGTCAGTCCTGAAGCACTTTATGTATGTATGAGGGTCCTTACTCCTGTCTTAGCTTTTGGTGATCGCCCCTTGGATGACTTATTTCTTGTGAAAATTTGCTGCCTTAGTAAGTCCCATAACAACCTTAATGTTTTATGGCCATATATCGATTCTCTTTCCAAAGGAAGGAGGGAAAAACCAAAGACCAAGGTCATTAAATATGTATATTTCAATGGGTGCTATCTATATTTTGTCTATATGTTCTGTTTACATTAGTAAGCAGAAAAATATTCAAGCTTTTCCGTTTCTATTCATGACCAGCACCTTTTCTGGGGTCTAGAAAACCACCAATAAAATATGCTTCAGCAGCATTTGGTTGTAATTTGTGACATTTCCAAAACACTGTGCAATTGGAAAGATTGAGAGTGTAATTACTGATGCTCAGCTTTAGGTTTAGCTAAGTTTTTTTAAAGACACATTATTGCATGGAATCCCTTTTAAAGAGGTTCCTGCCAATTACCGACACGACACTCTGGCCCCGAAGGGCTTTCCTGGCGTGTGAATAGTTTGTCATGTGGAATTCAGAGGTTTTCAGGGCCTTGTGGAGGTTTTTTTTTTTTCTTTTTTTCTGATGTGTGTAATAAATGCTGGGTGGAGGAAGTTAGGCTGAATAATAATGTGGTTTAAACTATATTATTGGGTATCAGGAATCACATGAAGCAACTTTGAGCTTAGGAACTTGTTTTCTTAACACCTCATCCAT